GTATGCGATCTATCCTGAGTTGAGCCGGTACCACATTTCATTGTGTCGAGTTGCATGTGTTGCATTGTGATGTGTGCTGTGTTTGGCATGGGATAGTAGGTCCGGATTTGATGTATATGAAATGATGTTTATATGTTTCTTCCTTTTATTTCATGTACATTATTACCGTTATATTTGATCGTGATTTCTCACACCTTGTTGTTGTTGTGGTCTGTGCTTCTTCGGAAGTACAGACAATCTAGGTGCTTAGCTAGCTTGGATTGTGGCGAGTCGTAGGGATGCTCTGATACATAACACCGGGGCTTTTGGGAGTATTTGTGTCTATTTGATGATTTTGTGTGCCCCTGTGGCGTATCTTATTTTGTTGGGATTCGATGATGATATTTTGTGTACTTTGGGCAGATGGTCGACTTGATGTATATGATGACGTGTGTGTGTGTGTGTGTGTGTGTGTGTGTGTGTGTATGTATATATATATATATATATATATATATATATATATATATATATATATATATATATATATATATATATATATATATATATATATATATATATATATATATATATATATATATATATATATATATATATATATATATATATATATATATATATATATATATATATATATATGTGTGTGTGTGTGTGTGTGTGTGTGTGTGTGTGTGTGTGTGTGTGTGTGTGTGTGTGTGTGTGTGTGTTTATGACAGATATCTTTTTCCGCTGCATTTTTGTTGAAAATCATTTTAAGAAATGTCTTGTAGAATTTTGGTGAAAATGTGACATCCCGTTTTTGGTGTGGAAACTCTGATGATTGTTTATTCAATTGTTTTATTTTATTTTGGGGAACGGGGTGTCATAGTGTTCATTGCTTCAACCTAGAAATAGTAAGAAAATATCTTGGCATGTTACATAACTCTAGATGACTCTTGAAGAGTTCTATTCTTCCTTTCCACCATCCCATTTTATTGAGGAGTGATAGGAGCTGAGAATTCATAACCAATACCTTCTTAGTCACTAAACTTAGAGAACTTAGAATTTTCAAACTATGTCTCATGGCTAGTTCTGATTTTTACTATCCCAATACCTTTTTTTCTTTAAAGAAGATGACATAGCTCTTCGAACACCTCAAATGTGTCAGATTTTTCTCTAATGAACTTTACCCAAGTGAACCTTGAGTAGTCATCAACACACACAAAGCCATATCTTTTCTCTCATAGACTTTCTACTTGCATAAGTCCCATTAAATCCATATGCAAGAGTTCAAGAACCTTTATAGTGGCAAGATGTTGGAGCTTCTTATGAGGCATCTTGGTCTACTTGCTTATTTGACACTCTCCACATACTTTACCTTATCCAGTCTTGAGTCTAGGAAATCCCTTTACGGCTTCTTCAGAAATAATCTTCTTCATGCTCTTGAGATTAAAATGACCAAATGTTTGATGCCACAACTTGGTCTCATCAACTTTTTTCATCAGAAAATTTGAGAGATCTTCTCTGCTATGTGATATCCAAAAATAACAATTATCCTTATACCTTGAGCCTTTCTTAACCACTTCTTGCTATTCACTAGAGATAACGCATTATGACTCGTTAAAGCTTACGTTAAGACCTTGATTACAAAGCTGACTTATACTGATCAAGTTAGAAATCAGGCCTACTACCAGTAACACATTATTAAGGCTAGGAAGACCAGGATACACTAGTTTTCATATGCCTTTGATTATACCTTTCACACCATCACCTAAAGTAACATATTCGTTTGAGTGAGGTTTTAGTTCCTTAAGATAAAACTTTTCCCCTGTCATAGGTTTGGAACAACCACTATCTAAGTACCAATCTTCTCTAGAAGACACTCTAAGGGAATTATGGTCTATGAGACTTGTGATTTCCATTTTGGGTTTCCACACCTTGGTTTTAACTATCTTTCATTTCCTTTTAAGCCATGGTTGACAATGAGGTCAAGGATAGCCATATAGTTTGTAACCATTTGGTCTTATGTGTCTGTATTTACCATAATGATGACATCTTCTATTGAAGCTCTTAAAATTCTTATAATGAGGATGACCACGTCGAGCACGATGCTGGAACATGCAACTTTTCTTGTTCTTAAGGTTGTTGTTAAACCTTATTGCTACTGGAATTCTTGACTTTTTTTCTATCTGGATTTCTTCTAGCAATTTAGTATCAGTCTTCAATCTTAACTTCTTTTCCTCTTCCACAGTTTCTTCTAACATGTTAGAGCCTTTAGTCAATATCTCAATAGTTTTTATGTTGTCCTCAAGTTTGGATGTTAACACTAAAATTTCTTCTCTTAGACCTGTGATGATAGTAGCAAGTTGCTCTTTATCTTGATAAAGAACAATTATTGTTTGTTGTCTCTCTAATTTAACGCAGGCTTTTTCCACTTGGTGATCAAAAGCCTAAATGAGGCAGCTATTTCTTCATAAGGTAGGTCTTTATCATAATACTCACCCTCAACATCATGCTTATCAATGTATGCCATTAATTTGTTGGCATTATCTTCATCACTATCATTGTCAGATTCATACAAGGTGATTGACAATCCCACCCTTTTATTACAAATTTCCATGCATTGTTACTCGTTGATTTAAGAAACGCAACCATCACAGACTTCTAATAATCATAGTTGGTATCATCCAAAATAGATGGTTTGTAACTAATCCTCCATCTTTCACAATGTCCATTTAAGCAAAATTTGTCTTCTTTGGAACTCACCCAACAGGCTAAGGTGCACACTCTAACGCCAATTGAAATCATGTTCTTTAGGGGACAGATGTTGAACACAATATTCTAGACAACTGGTTTGACAAGTTAAACCAGAAACATAACAAGTAGTAGATGATGGAGTAGAAAAATAGTAAATAACACAATACTTGTTGACCTAGTTTTGTGAAACCACATATACGCCTGGAGGTTGAGTCCACAACCCAAGAAAGGAAATTCACTATTAGTAGTTTAGTACAATCAGTCTTACAAGCAACAACAAACCATATGTTGTTCAATGCCTTTTTCTAACACTACCAAAAAACTTTCTATTTAGGGCTCCTCTTAACCATGAGAGTCTACTCACTTTCTTCTCAATCACACAAACTTTGATTGCAGATTACAACTTAATAATCAATGTTGAATATTACCACATGACTCTAGACAAACTTTCTATTCCAAGTTACAGAAACATAGAGGTGTACATACAACAATAACAAGGAATCAAAATAAACCTTAGCATTCCAAAATCTTGAATGTATTGCTTGACTTACAATGTAGGTTTTGAGCTCCTTATATAGCATAATAATTCAGAGTTTTTCTTCCTGGATTTGATATTTGATTTCGTCCAGAATTAATGCAGAATATGTTGGATATTATCTGTTATATAATTATCTCTAACAAGATATGATTTGTTTCAATTTAAATTTAAATTTAAATCTTCATTTAAATATGAATAAATCTTCGTAAAGCTATCAAAACAAATCACCTAATCATATTGTTAAGCCAACTAGCAATAAAGTCTAACCGAATTTTCTCAATAGATTCATTCAAAACGCAACAATCTAGCGCCTGTTGAGCATGACCCATTTGTCGTACCAACATGCTGGAGCATCGCGTCCAACATGTCTCCCTTATATAACTTAAGCAAGTTAGACCAATCTTGAACACTTAGGCACTTCTCGACGTTGTTGTTTTACAAAATGCAACTAATCTAAAGGGTCAATCCAATATGAACTACAACTTTAATTCCAGTTATTTCATTAGCTTCTTTGCTTTAATTGCAATTTTATTGTTTTTCATTCTATAGGTTCATACTCTTCTACACCCTTCCATTTTTCTCCACCTTCTTCTGAAGTTCTCATGAATTCAGAGAAAATCAACTTTTCAAACACACAAGTTTTCTCAAAACATCCATCCATACACAAATATATCTTTGAGATTTTTCAAATTTAATCTCTTAAGTTAATCAAACTCATAATTGTTTATTAAAAATACCAAACAACATGTGCAATCTTTTTTCTTTTGCTTTTTAGTGATATCAAACAGAATTTGAAATTAAAGCTTACCATTGATTTTTATGGGTTGTTTGAGCTAGTTTTTTTATTGAATTGAAATCGTAGAAACTATATTTTGTTTAATAGAATTAGGGTATTCAAATTAACTGGTTATTTAAATTATTCATATTAAAATTCAGTTATTAAAAACTAATTAATTATTAAATGATTTTAACCAAATTCATATTTTAGATATCTTGTTAATATGATTTTAATCAAATTTATAATTTGGACATCCATATTCAAAATAAAAATCAAATTAGTGAATTTTTCTTTTATAACCATTCTTAGTCAGTGGATGTCTAAAAGTTTTAACAGTCGTATTGACTAGTCTGATTGATGTGATTAATTCATCCGCTTACCTAGTATAATTTGTTAGTAGTATTTTTCCGCTGCTTAGATGTTGTACTGATGGGTTAATAACGAAATTTGAGTCCAGTATATCACATGGACCACCTTATTGTTTGTAGCGACGACTATATTGACACTCCACATAAATATCAAGGCAGACCGCAACATGAGTAGTAAACGCAATTAGCAGATTGCATACGCCATGCGACTATTCCACCTCGTAGCTCGCCAGATACAAACGTTAGTCTTTTAATATTTTTTAACCTAAGGTATTCAAACAAAAATAAGTGACGTTTGATGTTGATTTTTTTGGCTATATTTAAAATATCAAGAGTTCTCATCATGTTAATTAGGCTGAATGACAATTTGGACTTGTCAAAGCCATCGGTATGGTGCTGTGATATCTTCATTTACAGGGAATTGTATAGATTTCAAAATTTATGTATATTTTTCCATGGAGTGATTGACGGGGCAAATAATTTTATTAACATATAGTGATCCAAGTCCTCCCAAGCGCCAACACTATGCCTATATATAGGTTGTAAACTTATAGTTTTTATATAACCAAAAACAAACACAACC